GTCCACATAACAGTCCTCAAAGTCCACATAAATGTCCCCAAAGTCCACATAAATGTCCCCAAAGTCCACATAACAGTCCTCAAAGTCCACATAAAAGTCCGCAAAGTCCACATAAATGTCCCCAAAGTCCACATAACAGTCCTCAAAGTCCACATAACAGTCCCCAAAGTCCACATAAATGTCCACAAAGTCCACATAACAGTCCCCAAAGTCCACATAAATGTCCCCAAAGTCCACATAACAGTCCTCAAAGTCCACATAAATGTCCACAAAGTCCACATAACAGTCCCCAAAGTCCACATAAATGTCCCCAAAGTCCACATAAATGTCCCCAAAGTCCACATAACAGTCCTCAAAGTCCACATAAATGTCCCCAAAGTCCACATAACAGTCCGCAAAGTCCACATAAATGTCCCCAAAGTCCACATAAATGTCCCCAAAGTTCACATAAATGTCCCCAAAGTCCACATAACAGTCCCCAAAGTCCACATAAATGTCCCCAAAGTCCACATAAATGTCCACAAAGTCCACATAACAGTCCCCAAAGTCCACATAACAGTCCTCAAATTCCACATAAATGTCCCCAAAGTCCACATAACAGTCCTCGAAGTCCACATAACAGTCCCCAAAGTCCACATAACAGTCCTCAAAGTCCACATAACAGTCCTCAAAGTCCACATAACAGTCCTCAAAGTCCACACAACAGTCCTCAAAGTCCACATAACAGTCATCAAAGTCCACATAACAGTCCTCAAAGTCCACACTAACAGTCCTCAAAGTCCACATAACAGTCCTTCAAAGTCCACATAACAGTCCTCAAAGTCCACATAACATGTCCCCAAAGTCCACATAAATGTCCCCAAAGTCCACATAACAGTCCTCAAAGTCCACATAACAGTCCTCAAAGTCCACATAAATGTCCCCAAAGTCCACATAAATGTCCTCAAAGTCCACATAACAGTCCTCAAAGTCCACATAACAGTCCGCAAAGTCCACATAAATGTCCCCAAAGTCCACATAACAGTCCTCAAAGTCCACATAACAGTCCCCAAAGTCCACATAAATGTCCACAAAGTCCACATAAGTCCCCAAAGTCCACATAAATGTCCCCAAAGTCCACATAACAGTCCTCAAAGTCCACATAAATGTCCCCAAAGTCCACATAACAGTCCCCAAAGTCCACATAAATGTCCCCAAAGTCCACATAAATGTCCCCAAAGTCCACATAACAGTCCCCAAAGTCCACATAACAGTCCTCAAATTCCACATAACAGTCCCCAAAGTCCACATAACAGTCCTCAAAGTCCACATAAATGTCCCCAAAGTCCACATAACAGTCCTCAAAGTCCACATAACAGTCCGCAAATTCCACATAAATGTCCCCAAAGTCCACATAACAGTCCTCAAAGTCCACATAACAGTCCCCAAAGTCCACATAAATGTCCACAAAGTCCACATAACAGTCCCCAAAGTCCACATAAATGTCCCCAAAGTCCACATAACAGTCCTCAAAGTCCACATAACAGTTCACAAAGTCCACATAACAGTCCTCAAAGTCCACATAACAGTCCTCAAAGTCCACATAACAGTCCTCAAAGTCCACATAACAGTCCTCAAAGTCCACATAACAGTCCTCAAAGTCCACATAACAGTCCCCAAAGTCCACATAACAGTCCCCAAAGTCCACATAACAGTCCTCAAAGTCCACATAACAGTCCTCAAAGTCCACATAACAGTCCCCAAAGTCCACATAACAGTCCTCAAAGTCCACATAACAGTCCTCAAAGTCCACATAACAGTCCTCAAAGTCCACATAACAGTCCTCAAAGTCCACATAACAGTCATCAAAGTCCACATAACAGTCCTCAAAGTCCACACAACAGTCCTCAAAGTCCACATAACAGTCTTCAAAGTCCACATAACAGTCCTCAAAGTCCACATAAATGTCCCCAAAGTCCACATAAATGTCCCCAAAGTCCACATAACAGTCCTCAAAGTCCACATAACAGTCCTCAAAGTCCACATAAATGTCCCCAAAGTCCACATAAATGTCCCCAAAGTCCACATAAAAGTCCACAAAGTCCACATAACAGTCCCCAAAGTCCACATAAATGTCCCCAAAGTCCACATAACAGTCCTCAAAGTCCACATAATTGTCCTCAAAGTCCACATAACAGTCCGCAAAGTCCACATAAATGTCCCCAAAGTCCACATAACAGTCCTCAAAGTCCACATAACAGTCCCCAAAGTCCACATAAATGTCCACAAAGTCCACATAACAGTCCCCAAAGTCCACATAAATGTCCCCAAAGTCCACATAACAGTCCTCAAAGTCCACATAAATGTCCCCAAAGTCCACATAACAGTCCCCAAAGTCCACATAAATGTCCCCAAAGTCCACATAAATGTCCCCAAAGTCCACATAACAGTCCCCAAAGTCCACATAACAGTCCTCAAATTCCACATAACAGTCCCCAAAGTCCACATAACAGTCCTCAAAGTCCACATAAATGTCCCCAAAGTCCACATAACAGTCCTCAAAGTCCACATAACAGTCCGCAAATTCCACATAAATGTCCCCAAAGTCCACATAACAGTCCTCAAAGTCCACATAATTGTCCTCAAAGTCCACATAACAGTCCGCAAAGTCCACATAAATGTCCCCAAAGTCCACATAACAGTCCTCAAAGTCCACATAACAGTCCCCAAAGTCCACATAAATGTCCACAAAGTCCACATAACAGTCCCCAAAGTCCACATAAATGTCCCCAAAGTCCACATAACAGTCCTCAAAGTCCACATAAATGTCCCCAAAGTCCACATAACAGTCCCCAAAGTCCACATAAATGTCCCCAAAGTCCACATAAATGTCCCCAAAGTCCACATAACAGTCCCCAAAGTCCACATAACAGTCCTCAAATTCCACATAACAGTCCCCAAAGTCCACATAACAGTCCTCAAAGTCCACATAAATGTCCCCAAAGTCCACATAACAGTCCTCAAAGTCCACATAACAGTCCGCAAATTCCACATAAATGTCCCCAAAGTCCACATAACAGTCCTCAAAGTCCACATAACAGTCCCCAAAGTCCACATAAATGTCCACAAAGTCCACATAACAGTCCCCAAAGTCCACATAAATGTCCCCAAAGTCCACATAACAGTCCTCAAAGTCCACATAACAGTCCGCAAAGTCCACATAACAGTCCTCAAAGTCCACTTAACAGTCCTCAAAGTCCACATAACAGTCCTCAAAGTCCACATATCAGTCCTCAAAGTCCACATAACAGTCCTCAAAGTCCACATAAATGTCCCCAAAGTCCACATAAATGTCCCCAAAGTCCACATAACAGTCCTCAAAGTCCACATAACAGTCCTCAAAGTCCACATAAATGTCCCCAAAGTCCACATAAATGTCCCCAAAGTCCACATAACAGTCCTCAAAGTCCACATAAAAGTCCGCAAAGTCCACATAAATGTCCCCAAAGTCCACATAACAGTCCTCAACGTCCACATAACAGTCCCCAAAGTCCACATAAATGTCCACAAAGTCCACATAACAGTCCCCAAAGTCCACATAAATGTCCCCAAAGTCCACATAACAGTCCTCAAAGTCCACATAAATGTCCCCAAAGTCCACATAACAGTCCCCAAAGTCCACATAAATGTCCCCAAAGTCCACATAAATGTCCCCAAAGTCCACATAACAGTCCTCAAAGTCCACATAAATGTCCCCAAAGTCCACATAACAGTCCCCAAAGTCCACATAAATGTCCCCAAAGTCCACATAAATGTCCCCAAAGTTCACATAAATGTCCCCAAAGTCCACATAACTGTCCCCAAAGTCCACATAAATGTCCCCAAAGTCCACATATATGTCCACAAAGTCCACATAACAGTCCCCAAAGTCCACATAACAGTCCTCAAAGTCCACATAAATGTCCCCAAAGTCCACATAACAGTCCTCAAAGTCCACATAACAGTCCCCAAAGTCCACATAACAGTCCTCAAAGTCCACATAACAGTCATCAAAGTCCACATAACAGTCCTCAAAGTCCACATAAATGTCCCCAAAGTCCACATAACAGTCCTCAAAGTCCACATAACAGTCCTCAAAGTCCACATAAATGTCCCCAAAGTCCACATAAATGTCCACAAAGTCCACATAACAGTCCTCAAAGTCCACATAACAGTCCTCAAAGTCCACATAACAGTCCTCAAAGTCCACATAAATGTCCCCAAAGTCCACATAAATGTCCCCAAAGTCCACATAACAGTCCTCAAAGTCCACATAAATGTCCCCAAAGTCCACATAAATGTCCCCAAAGTCCGCATAAATGTCCCCAGAGTCCGCATAAATTTCCCCAAAGTCCACATAAATGTCCCCAAAGTCCATGTAAGAGTCTTCAATCCGGCCTTGCCCCCTGCCACAGGGACACCATACACGAACCCCCTTGTCCCCCTGCGCTTGGCTACCAGCTGATAATACGACGGGGTTCAGACGTTCCGGACGGGAGGCCTCGGCAGGGAGGTGCGTCTTATAATCCGGTTCATTCGTCACATTGCGGTTTGCCCACCACCACCTTTGACCCCCCCACGGTCTACGGGGCCACGTGGGCCACAGCAACAACTCGAAACCCTCGCACGCGATTGGTCGGCGCAGTGGGGTCTGGGTGGGGGGGCAGTGTAACGGTGGGGGGGGTGGGCAGCGTGGGGCGCATTGACCAATCATAACGCGGGCTGAGGAATTCTGGGGGGGGGTGGGCTAGCTTGGGGGTGGAGGGTGGAGGAGGTGGGCGTTGACCAATCACGACGCGCGCTGAGGATTCACGGCTGAGTAAGATGTTGCGGGTGGGGGGGGGGGATGAGGCGTCGACCAATCACGACGCGTCCTCAGTGGTGAAACTTAGGCTAACTGGGGGGGAGGGGGTGGCGCGTCGACCAATCACAACGCCCGCTTGAGGGGTGCTGGTGTTGGGGGGGGGCTATCCGCGTTACGAAAACAAATCGCATATACTTAAGCGCGCTGTGAAATCTAATGCTCTCCGTCATTTGCATATCATAAAGCGAATTAAACGCCGTCTTCAGGCTCGGCATTGTTATTGCCCCCGCTCCTATCCGTTGTACGGAATGCAACTGTTTATACTTAAGCGCGCTATGAAATCTAACGTTCGCCCTCATTTTCATATCGTAGAGCGGATAAGCGCCGGCTTCGGCATTGCCCCTCCTATCCGTTGTACGGAATCAAACTGCCCATACTTAAGCGCGCTGCGAAATATGACACGCGCCCTCATTTGTATTTCATAAAGCGGATAAACGCCTTCTTAGAGCTTGCATTGCCACCGCGCCTATCCATTGTACGGAATCAAACTGCCTATACTTAAGCGCGCTGTGGAATCTAATGCTCGCCTTCATTTGAATTTCATAGAGCGGATAAGCGCCGTCTTGGGGCCCGGCATTGCATTGCCCCCACTCCTCTCCATTGTACGGAATCAAACCACCTAAACTTAAGCGCGCTGCGAAATATGACACCCGCCCTCGTTTGCATTTCATAGAGCGGATAAACGCCGTCTTAGAGCTTGCATTGCCACCGCTCCTATCCATTGTACGGAATCAAACCGCCTATGCTTAAGCGCGCTGTGAAATCAGACGCTCGCCCTCACGTTGCAATTCATAGAGCGGATAAGCGCCTGCGCGTCGCCGTTTAAAAAAAGTTAAACATTATCTACTTTAAAAAAAAACAATGAACGATAAAGATCTTTTGGGGGAGAGATAACAAAGTTCACTTCGCGGCGTGTCCTCTGGTCCAAATTAGCCAGTTCAAGGCTCGCTCGCTCACTCGCTCGCTGTTTGCATCGCGCGGTGCGCAGAAAAAAATACCAACTCTGAGGTAAAGTTAAACAACTCCTAATTTTATTAATGTCGATACAGTAAGGTACTGGTATAGGTTAGATGCGTAAAAATTACGTTGTTACACGCGCCAAATGCCTGCCCGGTTAGTTTTAAACGGTTAATGGGAGACGCCGTCGCGTGTGTAACTGTGTGTAACTGCTGGTGTGTGTGTGGTCCGAAACGTCTATTGTTAAGTTGCTGCTTGCGGTTATCCGTGATTTAAAAACTGCTGGATTTAATGCGTGTTAAAAGTTTACAAAGTTAAACTCGCGCGTTAAGTCACGGCGAGGTTACAGCTGTTTGTTCGCGTGTGCGTTCTGCAGCAGGGTGTGTGGTCCGAAACGTCTATTGTTAAGTGGCCGCTACTTGAGTTATCCGTGATTTAAAACTGCTGATTTAACGCGTGTTAAAAGTTTACTAAAGTTAAACTCACGCTTACGGCTATAGCTGTCGCCGATGAGAGTGGTTAAGGGAAATAATAAAATAATAAAAATAATAAACTATTAAATTATTATTCTTGGTTCTTGCGGTAAAGTCACCACGTAGAAGGGAAACAATAAAATAATAACAAATAAAACACATTCTTGGTTCTTTCGGCAAAGTCACCACGTAGAAGGGAAACAATAAAATAATAACAAATAAAACACATTCCTGGTTATTTCGGTAAAGTCACCACGTAGAAGGGAAACAATAAAATAATAACAAATAAAACACATTCTTGGTTCTTTCGGTAAAGTCACCACGTAGAAGGGAAACAATAAAATAATAACAAATAAAACACATTCCTGGTTATTTCGGTAAAGTCACCACGTAGAAGGGAAACAATAAAATAATAACAAATAAAACACATTCTTGGTTCTTTCGGTAAAGTCACCACGTAGAAGGGAAACAATAAAATAATAACAAATAAAACACATTCTTGGTTCTTTCGGCAAAGTCACCACGTAGAAGGGAAACAATAAAATAATAACAAATAAAACACATTCCTGGTTATTTCGGTAAAGTCACCACGTAGAAGGGAAACAATAAAATAATAACAAATAAAACACATTCTTGGTTCTTTCGGTAAAGTCACCACGTAGAAGGGAAACAATAAAATAATAACAAATAAAACACATTCTTGGTTCTTTCGGTAAAGTCACCACGTAGAAGGGAAACAATAAAATAATAACAAATAAAACACATTCTTGGTTCTTTCGGCAAAGTCATCACGTAGAAGGGAAACAATAAAATAATAACAAATAAAACACATTCTTGGTTATTTAGGTAAAGTCACCACGTAGAAGGGAAACAATAAAATAATAACAAATAAAACACATTCTTGGTTCTTTCGGTAAAGTAACGTAGAAGGGAAACAATAAAATAATAAAAGAAATATAAAACAATTAAATTCTCACGACGTTTCGACTGTAACACCACAAACAGCCATCGTCAGGCGTTTAAACCACCACGTAGAAGGGAAACAATAAAATAATAAAAATATAAAACAATAAAATTATTGTAAAACAATAAAATTATTATTCTTGGTTCTTTCGGTAAAGTCACCACGAAGAAGGGAAACAATAAAATAATAAAAATATAAAACAATAAAAATATTATTCTTGGTTCTTTCGGTAAAGTCACCACGTAGAAGGGAAACAATAAAAAATATAAAACAATAAAATTATTATTCTTGGTTCTTTCGGTAAAGTCACCACGTTGAAAGGAAACAATAAAATAATGAAAATTTAAAACAAAAAAATTATTGTAAAACAATAAAATTATTATTCTTGGTTCTTTCGGTAAAGTCACCACGTAGAAGGTTAACAATAAAATAATAAAAATATAAAACAATAAAATTATTCTTGGTTCTTTCGGTAAAGTCACCATGTAGAAGGGAAACAATAAAATAATAAAAATATAAAACAATAAAATTATTATTCTTGGTTCTTTCGGTAAAGTCACCACGTAGAAGGGAAACAATAAAATAATACAAATATAAAACAATAAAATTATTATTCTTGGTTCTTTCGATAAAGTCACCACGTAGAAGGGAAACAATAAAATAATACAAATATAAAACAATAAAATTATTATTCTTGGTTCTTTCGATAAAGTCACCACGTAGAAGGGAAACAATAAAATAATAAAAATATAAAACAATAAAAATATTATTCTTGGTTCTTTCGCTAAAGTCACCACCACGTAGAAGGGAAACAATAAAATAATAAAAATATAAAACAATAAAATTATTATTCTTGGTTCTTTCGGTAAAGTCACCACCAAGTTGAAGGGAAACAATAAAATAATAATAAAAAATATATTAAAAACCATAAAATTCTCACGACGTTTCGACTGCAACACAAACAGCCATCATCAGGTGTGACAACCAACGGCAAGGCACATTTGAAAGAAGTGGCGGTTTGTATTTATTTATTTTTAAACGTTAGCACCACGGAGAGCGATTTGACAGTTTGTTTAGATGGACGAGTCCATCTATGTTCGGAAAAGAGGAGGGGGGTAGACGAAAAATTAATGTATGCTGTCTGAAAGCCACCATAAGCGTGGACAATCAATTAAGACCCGAAATGGTTTATCAAATCCTTCCAATGATTGCTAAGCCAGAATCCATCTTCTCGGTTGAAATTGTCTCTGTGTTTGTATATGTGGATAGCCTCATGAACGAATCTCTCATGGTAGCCAGATGGCTTGGGTCTCTGGGGAGGTCTGGACCGCGGACCCGAAGCAGCCATTGCAGCTGCATGAGTCACAGTCCTAAACCTCTCCCATTTACCCTCGACTTCAAGGAGGAGTGGGGGACGATGCCAACCCCAGCCGCAAGCGATGATGAAATTCCCGCTTGCAACTTTCATCAGCGAGCTGAGGCCAGGCCACTTTAGGTTGGAATGGGGTCCTGGGTGTACACCCACCACCGGAGTGGAAGAATGGCAGGCGCATCTTACAGATGACTAGTCGATGGTCAGAGGGTAGATCAGCTCCACGGTAGGTCCTGGTGTCAAGGACATGGGCTCGCATCCGCTGGTCCGTCAGTATGTAGTCCAGCAGATGTTCTTGCTTGGACCCGGCATGCATCCATGATGTTGTGTGGATACGCCAATGCCGGAACAGCGTGTTGGTAATTACAAGCCCATGGGCTGCACAAAAATCTTGCAGCCTCCTACTGTTGTTATTGAGCTGATCTGGCCCATGCCCTCCAATCACTCCAGACCAGGTGCCAGCATCATGACCAACTCGGGCATTGAAGTCACCCAACAAGATGACTCTATCCCGAGGGGCCACTTTAGCCAGCATCTGTGACAGGAGGTCAAAGAAGGCATCTGACTCATCGGCTTTGCCTGCATCCCTCCACGGATGTTCGTCTTCGGTGGGGGCATAAGTAACCACGACCACCACTCCTCGCCTCCGGTTGATGGGAAGGCGAGCCCAAAGTTGTCTGGGGCTTACAGCTTCCCACACCTCACCGCCACGCTCCCACGCCCCCTTCATTATTTTGTTCAGAAGAAGAGCCACTCACTGTTGTTTGGCAGTCTGCTGCCCCGAGTAGAGGACTGTCCACCCCTCATGGTGGCAGGAGCCAGAACCGGTCCACCGGACCCTCCTGAATGCTACAGAGATCCAGGCGGTACCGGTCCAGCTCCCGACAGAGGAGTGGCAGCCTCTCCTCCGCAGTGAGCGTTCGAACATTCCACGTGGCCACACGAAGTGGCTTTTCGTTGTTTCTGGAGGAGCCCCGAGGGTAGAGATTCAATCTCCTGGCTCCGCCAATTGGGGTTTGGCCAGGAGACGTCATAGACGCCTGTCCCTCCCGGGGCCTCCGGCACAAGCTTATTAGTTAGATATTTTAGTCGTGGTTTAGTGGTAAATATATTGAAAGGTGGAGGGGTTACCAGCCCCTCGCACCCATCCAGAGCCCCCGTTTAGCCCCTGTGGTGGTCACAGACGCCATGAGGGGAAAGGCCGATCGGAATTGGCCCTCCCCCCACAGCACTGTCCACGACAGAGTTGCCCGTCCGGCACCGCGAGGAGGTAGGGGGTTGTTATTGCTGTACACACGGCGGTGTTATTGGACTTTTGGAAACCAAACGGGGTCGACCCCCCCCTCTCTCCACCCCCTCCCTCCCCCTCCCTCCCCGTGTCCACCCATCTCTCTCCTCTTTATCTCTCTCCGCCCTATCTCCTCCCCCCACCCTTCTCTACCCCCCTCTCTCTCCCCTCTCCCTCCATGTCACCCCATGTCACCCACCCCCCTCTCCCCCCGTGTCTCCCTCCCCCTCTCTCACCCCCCCTCTCTCTCCCCTCCCTCCCCCCCGTGTGCCCCCCCCTCCCTCGTCTCTCCCCCTCTGTCTATCCCCGTGTCTCCCTCTCAACATCCAGCAGTGTATAGACCCTGTTGGTGATGGTGACACTGAGAGACAGAGAGACTCACACAGGGGTAGACTCACCACCACCACCACATTGATGTCCACCCAGCAGTGTATAGACCCTGGTGGTGATGGTGACACTGAGAGACAGAGAGACTCACACAGGGGTAGAGTCACCACCACCACCACATTGATATCCACGCAGCAGTGTATAGACCCTGGTGGTGATGGTGACACTGAGAGACAGAGAGACTCACACAGGGGTAGAGTCACCACCACCACCACATTGATATCCACGCAGCAGTGTATAGACCCTGGTGGTGATGGTGACACTGAGAGACAGAGAGACTCACACAGGGTTAGAGTCACCACCACCACATTGATATCCTCCCAGCAGTGTATAGACCCTGTTGGTGATGGTGACACTGAGAGACAGAGAGACTCACACGGGGGTAGAGTCACCACCACCACATTGATATCCTCCCAGCAGTGTACAGACCCTGGTGGTGATGGTGACACTGAGAGACAGAGAGACTCACACAGGGGTAGAGTCACCACCACCACATTGATATCCATCCAGCAGTGTATAGACCCTGGTGGTGATGGTGACACTGAGAGACAGAGAGACTCACACAGGGTTAGAGTCACCACCACCACCACATTGATATCCTCCCAGCAGTGTATAGACCCTGGTGGTGATGGTGACACTGAGAGACAGAGAGACTCACACAGGGGTAGAGTCACCACCACCACCACATTGATATCCTCCCAGCAGTGTATAGACCCTGGTGGTGATGGTGACACTGAGAGACAGAGAGACTCACACAGGGGTAGAGTCACCACCACCACCACCACATTGATATCCACGCAGCAGTGTATAGACCCTGGTGGTGATGGTGACACTGAGAGACAGAGAGACTCACACAGGGGTAGAGTCACCACCACCACCACATTGATATCCACGCAGCAGTGTATAGACCCTGGTGGTGATGGTGACACTGAGAGACAGAGAGACTCATACAGTGGTAGAGTCACCACCACCACATTGATATCTACCCAGCAGTGTATAGACCCTGGTGGTGATGGTGACACTGGGAGACAGAGAGACTCACACAGGGGTAGAGTCACCACCACCACCACGACATTGATATCTACCCAGCAGTGTATAGACCCTGGTGGTGATGGTGACACTGAGAGACAGAGAGACTCACACAGGGGTAGAGTCACCACCACCACCACATTGATATCCTCCCAGCAGTGTATAGACCCTGGTGGTGATGGTGACACTGAGAGACAGAGAGACTCACACAGGGGTAGAGTCACCACCACCACGACATTGATATCCTCCCAGTAGTGTATAGACCCTGGTGGTGATGGTGACACTGAGAGACAGAGAGACTCACACAGGGGTAGAGTCACCACCACCACATTGATATCCACGCAGCAGTGTATAGACCCTGGTGGTGATGGTGACACTGAGAGACAGAGAGACTCACACAGGGGTAGAGTCACCGCCACCACCACGACATTGATATCCTCCCAGCAGTGTATAGACCCTGGTGGTGATGGTGACACTGAGAGACAGAGAGACTCACACAGGGGTAGACTCACCACCACCACCACATTGATATCCTCCCAGGAGTGTATAGACCCTGGTGGTGATGGTGACACTGAGAGGCAGAGAGACTCACACGGGGGTAGAGTCACCACCACCACATTGATATCCACCCAGCAGTGTATAGACCCTGGTGGTGATGGTGATGATGATATTTTATTTTTAATTTTTCACAGAAAATGTTGAGAAACCTTCAGAAAAATCTCGTGACCGGTCTGAAATGGAAAAAACTGTCCATCCAAGGACCCAGCCTGCTGCAGGTGATACACCCACAGACTCACAGAGAGACCCACAGACTCACAGAGAGACCCACAGACTCACAGAGAGAGCCACAGACTCACAGAGAGAGCCACAGACTCACAGAGAGACCCACAGACTCACACAGAGACCCACAGACTCACAGAGAGACCCACAGACTCTTAGAGACCCACAGACTCACAGAGAGACCCACAGACTCACAGAGAGACCCACACAGACTCACACAGACTCACAGAGAGACCCACAGACTCACAGAGACCCACAGACTCACACAGACTCACACAGAGACCCACAGACTTACAGAGAGACCCACAGACTCACACAGAGACCCACAGACTCACACAGACTCACAGAGAGACCCACAGACTCACAGAGAGACCCACAGACTCACACAGAGACCCACAGACTCACACAGAGACCCACAGACTCACACAGAGACCCACAGAATCACACAGAGACCCACAGACTCACACAGAGACCCACAGACTCACAGAGAGACCCACAGACTCACAGAGAGACCCACAGACTCACACAGAGACCCACAGACTCACACAGACTCACACAGAGACCTACAGACTCACACAGACTCACACAGAGACCCACAGACTCACACAGAGACCCACAGACTCACACAGACTCACACAAACTCACAGACTCACACAGAGACCCACAGACTCACAGAGACCCACAGACTCACACAGACTCACACAGAGACCCACAGACTCACACAGACTCACACAGAGACCCACAGACTCACACAGAGACCCACAGACTCACAGAGAGACCCACAGACTCACACAGAGACCCACAGACTCACACAGAGACCCACAGACTCACACAGAGACCCATAGACTCACACAGAGACTCACAGATTCACACAGATTCACACAGACTCACACAGAGACCCACAGACTCACACAGAGACTCACAGATTCACACAGACTCACATATACTCACACAAATACCCACAGCCTCACACAGACTCACACAGAGACCCACAGACTCACACAGACTCACACAGAGACCCACAGACTCACACAGAGACTCACAGATTCACACAGACTCACACAGACTCACACAGAGACCGACAGACTCACACATACTCACACAAACTCACAGACTCACACAGAGGCCCACAAACTCACACAGACTCACACAGAGACCCACAGACTCACACAGAGACCCACAGACTCACACAGAGACTCACAGATTCACACAGACTCACACAGGCTCACACAGAGGCCCACAGACTCACACAGACTCACACAAACTCACAGACTCACACAGAGACCCACAGACTCACACAGACTCACACAGAGACGCACAGACTCACACAGAGACCCACAGACTCACACAGACTCACACAGAGACCCACAGACTCACACAGAGACCCACAGACTCACACAGAGACCCACAGACTCACACAGACTCACACAAACTCACAGACTCACACAGAGACCCACAAACTCACACAGACTCACACAGAGACTCACAGACTCACACAGAGACCCACAGACTCACACAGAGACTCACAGATTCACACAGACTCACACAGACTCACACAGAGCCCCACAGACTCACAGAGAGACCCACAGACTCTTAGAGACCCACAGACTCACACAGACTCACACAGAGACCCACAGACTCACACAGACTCACACAGACTCACAGAGAGACCCACAGACTCACAGAGACCCACAGACTCACACAGACTCACACAGAGACCCACAGACTCACACAGACTCACACAAACTCACAGACTCACACAGAGACCTACAGACTCACACAGAGACTCACAGAGAGACCCACAGACTCACAGAGATCCACAGACTCACACAGACTCACACAGACTCACACAGACTCACAGAGAGACCCACAGACTCACAGAGACCCACAGACTCACACAGAGACCCACAGACTCACACAGAGACCCACAGACTCACACAGAGACCCACAGACTCACACAGACTCACACAAACTCACAGACTTACAGAGAGACCCACAGACTCACAGAGACCCACAGACTCACACAGACTCACACAGAGACCCACAGACTCACACAGACTCACACAGAGACCCACAGACTCACACAGACTCACACAGAGACCCACAGACTCACACAGAGACCCACAGACTCACAGAGAGACCCACAGACTCACAGAGACCCACAGACTCACACAGACTCACACAGAGTCCCACAGACTCACACAGAGACCCACAGACTCACACAGACTCACACAGAGACTCACACAGAGACCCACAGACTCACACAGACTCACACAAACTCACAGACTCACACAGAGACCCACAGACTCACACAGACTCATACAGAGACCCACAGACTCACAGAGAGACCCACAGACTCACAGAGACCCACAGACTCACACAGACTCACACAGAGACCCACAGACTCACACAGAGACCCACAGACTCACACAGAGACTCACAGATTCACACAGACTCACACAGAGACCCACAGACTCACACAGAGACTCACAGATTCACACAGCCTCACACAGACTCACACAAATACCCACAGACTCACACAGACTCACACAGAGACCCAAAGACTCACACAACGACCCACAGACTCACACAGACTCACACAGAGACCCACAGACTCACACAGAGACTCACAGATTCACACAGACTCACACAGACTCACACAGAGACCCACAGACTCACACAGACTCACACAAACTCACAGACTCACACAGAGACCCACAAACTCACACAGACTCACACAGAGACCCACAGACTCACACAGAGACTCACAGATTCACACAGACTCACACAGACTCACACAGAGGCCCACAGACTCACACAGACTAACACAAACTCACCGACTCACACAGAGACCCACAGACTCACACAGAGACTCACAGATTCACACAGACTCACACAGAGACCCACAGACTCACACAGACTCACACAGAGACCCACAGACTCACACAGAGACCCACAGACTCGCACAGAGACTCACAGATTCACACAGACTTACACAGACTCACACAGAGACCCACAGACTCACACAGACTCACACAAACTCACAGACTCACACAGAGACCCACAAACTCACACAAACTCACACAGAGACTCACAGACTCACACAGAGACCACAGACTCACACAGAGACTCAGATTCACACAGAATCACACAGACTCACACAGAGACCCACAGACTCACACAGACTCACACAAACTCACAGACTCATACAGAGACCCACAGACTCACACAGACTCACACAGAGACCCACAGCCTCACACAGACTCACACAGAGACCTACAGATTCACACAGACTCACACAGACTCACACAGAGACCCACAGCCTCACACAGAGACCCACAGACTCACACAGAGACCCACAGATTCACACAGAGACCCACAGACTCACACAGAGACCCACAGACTCACACAGACTCACACAGAGACCCACAGACTCACACAGAGACCCACAGATTCACACAGACTCACACAGACTCACACAGAGACCCACAGACTCACACAGACTCACACAAACTCACAGACTCATACAGAGACCCACAGACTCACACAGAGACTCACAGATTCACACAGACTCACACAGAGACCCACAGACTCACACCGACTCACACAGAGACCCACAGTCTCACACAGAGACCCACAGACTCACACAGACTCACACAGAGACCCACAGACTCACACAGAGACCCACACACTCACACAGAGACTCACAGATTCACACAGACTCACACAGACTCACACAGAGACCCACAGGCTCACACAGACTCACACAAACTCACAGACTCACACAGAGACCCACAGACTCACACAGACTCACACAGAGACCCACAGACTCACACAGAGACCCACAGACTCACACAGAGACGCACAGATTCACACAGACTCACACAGACTCACACAGAGACCCACAGCCTCACACAGAGACCCACAGACTCACACAGAGATTCACGGATTCACACAGACTCACACAGACTCACACAGAGACCCACAGACTCACACAGACTCACACAAACTCACAGACTCACACAGAGACCCACAGACTCACACAGAGACCCACAGACTCACACAGACTCACACAGAGCCCCACAGACTCACACAGACTCACACAGAGACCCACAGACTCACACAGAGTCACACAGAGACCCGCAGGATGGGTGAGTGAGTGAGTGGATGGGTGAGTGGATGAATGAGTGGATGAGTGAGTGGATGAATGAGTGAATGGGTTCGTTAGTAAGTGGATGAATGGGTGAGTGAGCGAGTGGATGGGTGAGTGAGCGAGTGAGTGAGTGAGTAGGTGAGGGAGTGAGCAAGCGAGTGAGTGAGTTGTCTGTCTGTCTGTCGAACTTCTTTCGCGCCCTACGTAGCCAACCCCCGTGCCTTGTCGACCTCGCCCGCTCGCTCGCTCGCCACATCCAAGGCGTGCAGACGCCGCTGTCTCTGCGTCAGTGTGGGCCTCCCCTAGGTCGACTCAGCCCCAAGTGGGCATACCCCCGCCTCAGCGGTGCGCCGTCGCGAACATCGCTTAGCGCTGGGGGGAGAGACAAAGGCGGCCGGGCGTGGTGGTGCCGGTCCACCCGCGCCACTCTCTGTGTGTGTGTGTAGCCACAGTGCCGGTAGCCCACGTGGGCTAGCGGCACTTGCCCCGACGGTTGGCCGAGGCTACACGGGGGATCTTTGTCTTTGTAGGCGCGGAGCCTCGGCACGCACGATCCGGAACCGATTCGTAATCCGAAGGTTCTGTACGACAAGCTGTTCATCAACAACGAGTGGGTGAGCAGACTCACACACACACACTCACACACACACTCACACACACACTCACACACACACTCACACACTCACACACACACTCACACAGACACACACACACTCACACACACACACTCAGACTCACACACACACACAGACTCACAGTCACACACAGACACACACACAGACTCACACTCACACACACACTCACACACACACACTCACACACACAGATACACACACACACAGACTTACACACACAGACTCACACACACAGACACACACACACACAGACTTACACACACACACACAGACACACACACACAGACTCACACACACACAGATTCACACACACAGACACACACACACAGACTCACACACACACAGATTCACACACACACACAGACTCACACACACAGACAAACAGACAGACACACACAGACACACAGACAGACACACACAGACACACACACACAGACTCACACACACACAGACACACACACACAGACTCACACACAGACACACACACAGACTCACACACACACTCTCACCCACACACTCAGCCACTCAACTACTCACTCACTCAACCACTCACTCACTCAACCACTCAACCACTCACTCTCTCAACCACTCACTCACTCAACCACTCACTCACTCACTCACCCACTCAACCACTCACTCACCCACTCACTCAACCACTCAACCACGCACTCAACCACTCATTCACTCACCCACTCACTCAACCACTCACTCACTCACTCAACCACTCACTCAACCACTCACTCACCCACTCACTCAACCACTCAACCACGCACTCAACCACTCATTCACTCAACCACTCACTCAACCACTCACTCACCCACTCACTCAACCACTCAACCACTCACTCACTCACCCACTCACTCACTCAACCACTCAACCACCCACTCACTCACTCAACCACTCACTCACTCAACCACTCAATCACTCACTCACTCAACCACTCACTCACTCACTCAACCACTCACTCACTCAATCAACCACTCACTCACCCACTCACTCAACCACTCATTCACTCAACGACCCACTCACTCACTCAACCATCCACTCACTCACTCACTCAACCACTCACTCACTCAACCACTCAACCACTCACTCACTCAACCACCCACTCACTCACTCAACCACTCACTCACTCAACCACCCACTCACCCACTCAACCACCTACCCACCCACTCCCCTTTGTCTCTCTCGCCGTCCGTGTTTGTGGTGGAGTGCACAGGTTGACTCCGTGAGTGGCAAAACCTTCCCCACGGTGAACCCGGCCACGGGGGAGATCCTGGCTCATGTCAGCCTGGCAGAGGCGGCCGACGTGGACAAAGCCGTCAGGCAAGCCGGGGGGGCTGGGGAGAGGAACTAGGCCGCATTGTCTTTGGGTGTCTCTGCAGTGTCTCTCTCCACATCTCTCTCTCCACATCTCTCGCTCTCTCTCTGTCTCTCTCTGTCTCTCTGTGTCTCTCTGTCTGTCTCTGTCTCTCTCTCTGTCTCTCTCTGTCTCTCTGTGTCTCTCTCTGTCTCTCTCTCTCTGTCTCTCTGTGTCTCTCTGTGTCTCTGTCTCTTTCTGTCTCTCTCCACGTCTCTCTGTGTCTCTCTCTGTGTCTCTCTCTCTGTCTCTCTCTGTCTCTCTCTCTGTCTCTCTCTCTGTCTCTCTCTCTGTCTCTCTCTGTCTCTCTCTGTCTCTCTGTGTCTCTCTCTCTGTCTCTCTCTGTCTCTCTCTCTGTCTCTCTCTGTCTCTCTCTGTCTCTCTCTGTGTCTCTCTCTGTGTCTCTCTCTCTGTCTCTCTCTGTCTCTCTCTCTGTCTCTCTCTCTGTCTCTCTCTGTGTCTCTCTGTCTCTCTCTGTCTCTCTCTGTCTCTCTGTGTCTCTCTCTCTGTCTCTCTCTGTCTCTCTCTCTGTCTCTCTCTCTGTCTCTCTCTCTGTCTCTCTCTGTCTCTCTCTGTGTCTCTCTGTCTCTCTCTCTGTCTCTCTCTGTCTCTCTGTGTCTCTGTCTCTTTCTGTCTCTCTCCACGTCTCTCTGTGTCTCTCTGTGTCTCTCTCTGTCTCTCTCTCTCTCTGTCTCTCTCTGTCTCTCTCTCTGTCTCTCTCGATGTCTCTCTGTCTCTCTCTCTCTCTGTCTCTCTCGATGTCTCTCTGTGTCTCTCTGTCTCTCTCTCTGTCTCTCTGTCTCTCTGTGTCTCTCTCTGTCTCTCTGTGTCTCTCTGTGTCTCTGTCTCTCTCCACGTCTCTCTGTGTCTCTCTTTCTGTCTCTCTCTGTCTCTCTCGATGTCTCTCTGTGTCTCTCCACATCTCTCTCCATCTGTCTCTCTCTCTCTGTCTCTTTCTGTCTCTCTCTGTCTCTCTGTCTGTCTCTCTCTGTCTCTCTCCACATCTCTCTCTCTCTCTCCACATCTCTCTCTGTCTCTCTGTCTCTCTGTGTCTCTCTGTCTCTCTGTGTCTCTCTCTGTCTCTCTGTGTGTCTCTCTGTCTCTCTCTCTGTCTCTCTGTGTCTCTGTCTCTCTCTCTGTCTCTCTCTGTCTCTCTCTCTGTCTCTCTCTGTCTCTCTCTGTCTCTCTGTGTCTCTCTCTCTGTCTCTCTCTCTCTGTCTCTCTCTGTCTCTCTCTCTGTCTCTCTCTGTCTCTCTCTGTCTCTCTGTTTCTCTCTGTGTCTCTCTCTCTCTCTGTCTTTCCCTGTCTCTCTCTGTGTCTCTCTCTGTCTCTCTCTCTGTCTCTCTCTCTGTCTCTCTCTGTCTCTCTGTCTCTCTCTGTGTCTCTCTCTGTCTCTCTGTGTCTCTCCCTTTCTGTCTCTCTCTGTCTCTCTGTGTCTCTCTCTCTCTGTCTCTCTCTGTCTCTCTCTCTGTCTCTCTCTGTCTCTCCGTGTCTCTCTCTGTGTCTCTGTCTCTCTCTGTGTCTCTCTCTGTCTCTCTCTCTGTCTCTCTGTGTCTCTCTCTCTCTGTCTCTCTGTGTCTCTCTCTGTGTCTCTCTCTCTGTCTCTCTCTGTCTCTCTGTGTCTCTCTCTCTGTGTCTCTCTCTGTCTCTCTCTGTCTCTCTCTCTGTCTCTCTCTGTCTCTCTGTGTCTCTCTCTGTGTCTCTCTCTCTGTCTCTCTGTGTCTCTCTGTGTCTCTGTCTCTTTCTGTCTCTCTCCACGTCTCTCTGTGTCTCTCTCTTTCTGTCTCTCTCTGTCTCTCTCTGTGTCTCTCTGTGTCTCTCTGTCTCTTTCTGTCTCTCTCTCTCTGTCTCTCTCGATGTCTCTCTCTGTCTCTCTGTGTGTCTATCTCTCCATCTCTCCATCTCTCTCTCTCTCTGTCTCTCCCCACGTCTCTCTCTCTGTCTCTCTCCACATCTCTCTCCATCTCTCTCTCTCTGTCTCTCCCCACGTCTCTCTCTCTGTCTCTCTCCACATCTCTCTCCATCTCTCTCTCTCTCTGTCTCTCTCCCCACGTCTCTCTCTCCCACGTCTCTCTCACCATCTCTGTCTCTTTCTCTCACTCCCCATCTCTCTCTCCCCACGTCTCTCTCTCACCATCTCTCTCTCTCTCTCTGTCTCTCTCACCATCTCCCTCTCACCATCTCTCTCCCCACGTCTCTCTCACCATCTCTCTCTGTGTCTCTCTCCCCACGTCTCTCTCTCCCCACGTCTCTCTCTCCATCTCCCGCTCTCTGTCTCTCTCCCCACGTCTCTCTCACCATTTCACCATCTCTCTCCGTCTCTCTCCCCACGTCTCTCTCTCCCCACGTCTCTCTCACCATCTCTGTCTCTCTCCCCACGTCTCTCTCTCACCATCTCTGTCTCTCTCTCTCCCCACGTCTCTCTCTCACCATCTCTGTCTCTCTCTCTCCCCACGTCTCTCTCACCATGTCTCTGTCTCTCTCCCCACGTCTCTCTCACCATGTCTCTGTCTCTCTCCCTACTTCTCTCTCACCATCTCTGTCTCTCTCTCACTCCCCATCTCTCTCTCCCCACGTCTCTCTCTCACCATCTCTCTCTCTCTCTCTCACCATCTCCCTCTCACCATCTCTCTCCCCACGTCTCTCTCACCATCTCTCTCTGTGTCTCTCTCCCCACGTCTCTCTCACCATCTCTCTCTGTGTCTCTCTCCCCACGTCTCTCTCTCCCCACGTCGCTCTCTCCATCTCCCGCTCTCTGTCTCTCTCCCCACGTCTCTCTCACCATTTCACCATCTCTCTCCGTCTCTCTCCCCACGTCTCTCTCTCCCCACGTCTCTCTCACCATCTCCGTCTCTGTCTCTCTCCCCACGTCTCTCTCTCACCATCTCTGTCTCTCTCTCTCCCCACGTCTCTCTCTCACCATCTCTGTCTCTCTCTCTCCCCACGTCTCTCTCACCATGTCTCTGTCTCTCTCCCCACGTCTCTCTCTCACCATCTCTCTCTCTGTCTCTCTCACCATCTCTCTCCCCACGTCTCTCACACCATCTCTCTCCATCTCTCTCCCCACGTCTCTCTCTCACCATCTCTCTCTCTGTCTCTCTCACCATCTCCCTCTCACCATCTCTCTCTCTGTCTCTCTCACCATCTCCCTCTCACCATCTCTCTCCCCACGTCTCTCACACCATCTCTCTCTGTGTCTCTCTCCCCACGTCTCTCTCACCGTCTCTCTGTGTCTCTCTCCCCACGTCTCTCTCTCCCCACGTCGCTCTCTCCATCTCCCGCTCTCTGTCTCTCTCCCCACGTCTCTCTCACCATTTCACCATCTCTCTCCGTCTCTCTCCCCACGTCTCTCTCTCCCCACGTCTCTCACACCATCTCTCTCCATCTCTCTCCCCACGTCTCTCTCTCACCATCTCTGTCTCTCTCTCTCCCCACGTCTCTCTCACCATGTCTCTGTCTCTCTCCCCACGTCTCTCTCTCACCATCTCTCTCTCTGTCTCTCTCACCATCTCTCTCCCCACGTCTCTCTCTCACCATCTCTCTCTCTGTCTCTCTCACCATCTCCCTCTCACCATCTCTCTCCCCACGTCTCTCTCACCATGTCTCTGTCTCTCTCCCTACTTCTCTCTCACCATCTCTGTCTCTCTCTCACTCCCCATCTCTCTCTCCCCACGTCTACTCTCACACCATCTCTCTCCATCTCTCTCCCCACGTCTCTCTCTCTCTCTGTCTCTCTCACCATCTCCCTCTCTCCATCTCTCTCCCCACGTCTCTCTCACCATGTCTCTGTCTCTCTCCCCACGTCTCTCTCACCATCTCCCTCTCACCATCTCTCTCCCCACGTCTCTCTCTCCATCTCTCTCCCCACGTCTCTCTCTCACCATCTCTCTCTCTGTCTCTCTCACCATCTCCCTCTCACCATCTCTCTCCCCACGTCTACTCTCACACCATCTCTCTCTCCGTCTCTCTCCCCACGTCTCTCTCACCATCTCCGTCTCTGTCTCTCTCCCCACGTCTCTCTCACCATGTCTCTGTCTCTCTCCCCACGTCTCTCTCTCACCATCTCTCTCTCTGTCTCTCTCACCATCTCTCTCCCCACGTCTCTCTCTCACCATCTCTCTCTCTGTCTCTCTCACCATCTCCCTCTCACCATCTCTCTCCCCACGTCTCTCACACCATCTCTCTCCATCTCTCTCCCCACGTCTCTCTCTCTCCATCTCTCTCTCTGTCTCTCTCACCATCTCTCTCCCCACGTCTACTCTCACACCATCTCTCACCATCTCTCTCCCCACGTCTCTCTCACCATGTCTCTGTCTCTCTCCCCACGTCTCTCTCACCATGTCTCTGTCTCTCTCCCTACTTCTCTCTCACCATCTCTGTCTCTCTCTCACTCCCCATCTCTCTCTCCCCACGTCTACTCTCACACCATCTCTCTCCATCTCTCTCCCCACGTCTCTCTCTCACCATCTCTCTCTCTGTCTCTCTCACCATCTCCCTCTCACCATCTCTCTCCCCACGTCTCTCTCACACCATCTCTCTCTCCATCTCTCTCCCCACGTCTCTCTCACCATCTCCCTCTCTCCATCTCTCTCCCCACGTCTCTCTCACCATGTCTCTGTCTCTCTCCCCACGTCTCTCTCACCATCTCCCTCTCACCATCTCTCTCCCCACGTCTCTCTCTCACCATCTCTCTCTCTGTCTCTCTCACCATCTCCCTCTCACCATCTCTCTCTCCCCACGTCTCTCTCACACCATCTCTCTCCATCTCTCTCCCCACGTCTCTCTCTCACCATCTCTCTCTCTGTCTCTCTCACCATCTCCCTCTCACCATCTCTCTCCCCACGTCTACTCTCACACCATCTCTCTCTGTCTCTCTCCCCACGTCTCTCTCTCTCTCTGTCTCTCTCACCATCTCCCTCTCACCATCTCTCTCCCCACGTCTCTCACACCATCTCTCTCCATCTCT